CGACTCTGGCACGACGTCTGAATCAAAGTTGTTTTCCTGCCGTGCTACAGTCGAACCAAATTACAATTAAGTTCGGCACGGCAGAAGCACGACGTCTGAACTGGGCCTTACATGCAGAGTTATTTGACACGGTTAATGTCAAAAATCAACAATCGAAATAAACTGCAACTGATGCAAATTATTTCAAATGTCATGCTTTACCCGCAGCACTTCACTTTCCATTGGAAACTACTAGTATAGTTTAAACGGAGTTCACCCCTTGTTTAACAAAAACGCGTTCTAAGCCATTTTCATCTTATCTAACACCAATTATCGTGAACAATTTCAATAAAGCGTATAGCGTAGACAGGAAAAGCACTACTTTTTTTCTTAACTCAACCCACCTATAGAAAGGTCTAAGTTAGACTTTGTTTAAATAACAGACCCTAAATTAGAATTCATCCAAAGAAAAGCACTAAGGATAATTGTATGCTGATGTGATTCTTTCCTAATTGACAGGAATATTTTTTCCTGGATAGCAAAGTTTCTATCGGACTTCTATGTGCAGCAAAACCCTTTACTCAGTGCCATCTTTTCGGGAACAATAGGCTTACAAACCATTCTCGTCCCCCCACAGCCTCTAGGGACGAGAATGACTAATGCAAAGAATGCAAGATCATCCGCGCATGACTGGCGCGAGAATTCCAAATATGGCACTGATAAAAGTGTGAGTCAATTACCCATTTCAACCATTTATACCTTTCTGGTAGTATAAATCCTGTGTTTTTGGAAGGTTATCGTGATCAATGGCGACCTAGAATGCGCTAAGATTGCGCTAACTTAATTTCCTCTGGTTGAAGGTCAGTTATAATCTGTAGTTAGATCGTCTCTTGGACAGTATGAAAGATTCTTGCGACACAATTTAATAGACTTAGTATCTATGCTTTGGTGAAACTATTATCCGTTCTTATTGACCAATGCTGTAGGATGGAATTGCTGTTAAACTGGACAGATAAGAAAAGACGAGTTCAACTTTCGCTTACGCGTTGCGATACCCCCATATTACACATTCACAACTTATAACATGGTGGATGAGTGCTTGCGACTCGTCTCAAATTCCAGCTCGGGCCAAAAACATGCCGACGGAATAGACAGATTGTCACGCATGAATAGTAGTCTTAATTACACCAAGATTTCCGTTGCTACTTCCTTCTGCTTAGCAATATTCCAGCTTTTACATCATTATCTCCTTTATGTGGTTAAGGTAACCCAAAGAAGAAAGTAAACCTAAAGAAGTAAAACACCAAGCGGTTTTTAGTTCCGGCTTACTTCATTCTGCTTCCGCCTTGGAATTACACAAACGCACCAGAACACATCATTACAGGCCCCTCCTGACAACTCCATTTTATTATTATTTTTTCTTTAAAACCTTGAAGCCTTCATACCGCTAATATTGGTTGTCAATTTTGCTTGTCTCTTTACATTTTTTGGCAGAAAGTTGGCCTGAAGATTGGTCTTTCTACAGAGGACGCAGAGCGTTGACTTAAAGTGCTTACAGATTATGGATGTAAGTTAACCAAGAAATTTACTCAAAACAAGTTTAAGAACCCCGAATGTTTAAGGCAAGCAAAATAATATCTGTCTCAACGAACCGATGAACATATAAAGAGAATGAGGGAAACGGCCTGTTTAGTTGTTTCGAAGATATAGTTAAATGGTCGATAAGGTTAAACGGATTGCTCAAAGTAAATACTGTTCTGTACTTTTTTTGTTAAATTGCCAAGATCATGAGGACTGAATAGATAACACAAAAGTAGCCAAGCGTAAATTTGGTTTGACGCTGTTGCTGTTCATGTTTTTTTTTCTTTTTTTCCTCTTAAGGTCACGGGGACACCTTGGGCTCATTAATGTATTTATTTTGAAGCGTGGCACGAAGTACAACGACTAACATCGACAGGTTTTAACTTTTATACGAGATATTCATAACTGGATAAAAGATAAGCGCATAATTTAAAGTGATCACTTGCACATGTGGCACTTAGACTGCGAACCGAATGTTTATTCAAAGTGAAAAACGAGCTCTGAATGGTAGCAAACCTTGTTTCAGTGATTTTTAAATCTATAAAAAGAAGCAACTTATAAACAAAATTGAAGCGTGGAATGTAATTAACCATAATTACCATAATTGCTACATACTCGTGCTATAACCCGGAGCCTCAAAATTTTACTTTTCCGACAATTTTGTGTCTAAGAATTCAGCGCAGATATACAAAACTTCATGAGCTGGCACTGCAGAGGGGTAAATCTGGTGAACTGTGGTGTGTCATGTATAAAGCAGAATAGGCCATTTTACAGTTGTGGGCTTGGTGTCCTTGCCTTTGAGTGAACGTGAGGCTTAGGGTGACCTTGTTTTGATACACACCTCCTTCCTTTTCTAATGTAAATTTTGCTAAAAAAATACTATTTAGAATAACAAAAACATGATTTACATAATGAAACAAGCAGGGTTGTATCAAAAGAAGGTCAACTCCAGCCTCATTTCCAACTGTAACTGTAAAATGGGTTATTCCAAAAGAATGCTTCCATAAACACAGGTAGCCCAAGCTCGAAACTGATGAGCATCGGCCAACATCGGCATTTCATTTTCCTAGGTTACAGAAACCATACGTTTTTTCCCATACAAATCCTTATATTTCAAATCTTACGCAACTGCCGATGTTCGCTGATGCTCATATTTCGAGCTTGGGCTACCTGTGCTATAAAAAATATACGGCGTTAATTTCAGGAATAAGTGATTTTGCTAATTTAAACGATTATACGGCTTGCAGGCAAACGTTAAATGGTAAACTCTCCTGTATACATGTACACTAGAGGTTTTGACTGATCATTTACTAAAAGAATCACATAGTGCTGTCGTCTATTTCTTCCGCAAAATTGTACACAAAAGCGCGATTTCCCTATTTGGTACAACTGTGGCTTGAAGTACTGCCTTAAAGCGATCTACCAAATAATAATGATAACAAAAACAACCCTCCTAAACTTCCATCATTCCACAATGTCTCTGTAAAATTTTATGTAAATCACCTCTAAAGCAGCCGACATTATCGTTTTAGCAGCGTTTTACAAGATGTAGCGCAAGCAAGATTTTTCCTTATGAATTCATTCATGAATAGGTGTCCCTCGCGACCTAAAAGGGAGCAAAAACGGTGAAGGTTAAGATAAAAGGGTCCTTATTTCGCGTCGTTAGCTCGGAATAGTCCTGATCTGACTAACAAACCTGGGGCCAAAGGTGCGCTCGTCTTATCCCGCTTCTCCCTCATACATTTACTGGAATTAGAGATAGACGCCTCTATTTAAAATCAAAAAGTAATTACTCAGGGTAATCCATTCAGGGAGCTTACAAAGCATCCTGCAATCAGTAGAGTTCACTAACTAGACAATAAAAAAACATAATGAAATAAATACAATGGTAATATAACATATGAACTAATAACAAGGGGCGCAATCCATTCAACCAAAATTTCCGGAAATTTCGGTCCAAAACTAAATGGATCTGTTCGGTCCAACTGGAAAAGTTTCGAAAAAACGAGTTCACCTTTTGAGGTGGACCACTTTTCCCGGTCGGACTGGTTGGAATTTTGGTTGAATGGATCGCGCCCAAGATCTCCCAAAATTATGTACAGTTACAATGATTATAAAAACCGTACTTCCACGGTAAAGATCTCCTGGCCACTTCTGTTCTCATAGCAGACAGATGCAAAAGATTGCTCTGGCGGGTTGAGCGAGCACAAATGTCCTTGTTAAAAACAAAATAGTTCTTAAAATACTGAGGGCACCGACCATCCATACATTTCCTCACAAGTTTAAGGATATGTTCATCGCGCCTGGACCTTAGACTTGGCCACTTCAAAGCTTCCATCGCAGTGTCACTACTAGATATCTCTAGATGCCCAGACCAGAGCACCATACTCTAATGTCGGTCTAATCACTGATATGTAATTGGTAGTAGCACTATGTGAAGTGACATAACGGCGCACACGTCCTAACAGACCGACCGGCCTACCAGCGGTAGAATTGGTGATTTACACCTAGAAATTGAGCTGTAAACGTCGTGCACAGCAGGCCGTACACTAGCCAACTGTGCCAACCCTTAATTCCCAAAGCAAGGATTGCACTCTGACGAGAGCATTTTCCTCCCACCATTGTGACCCGGGTTTGAGTCCTTGTGTCGATTTAATAGCACAGCTCTCGCGCACAGCATGACCGTAATGCGGGCTCAGGGTGGCAACTCCTCGAGATCACGTGTTTTTTTAGGTTTCAAGCTGACCAGTTATTAGCTTGCTATTGATTACAGGCTAAGTTTATGTTTTTCCAGCTAGTCCTCAAAAGTCATTTAGTCCTCCCTTAAGCGGATTTCTTTGCAGTTTTTCCAAGGTCATTGCCTGAAGTAAATTATAAATACATAAACGGGTGCTTCGCTTTTAGCTCTGGCTAAATCTATATATTATGTAGGTTGATCTTGTTGTTAATTCTCTTGTTTGTTCCAAGAGGGTTTTCTCTAGCACGTAGAAGCCGACGCCTTTCAAGTCGTCGCTTCTTTCACTAGGGAAGAGACCGACCGGAAATACGTCTACGTTCGCAGGCTAGTTTTTCTCCAGAAACTCCGGTTTTTCCTTTCCCCTAAAACCAACATACCAAATTCGAATTTAATCTGAGAAATGTCTACATTAACTTGGGGACACTTAAGATGGGGCACACGTTTGTCAGTTCTAAGTCTGGGTTGTAATCGCCATTTTTTTAGGGTTAAGGGAGATATTTTAAGAACACGCTCCTCACCCTCCAGACGCGTGTTCATTTCGCGCGCCTCGCTTGCCCTAAAACAAGTGCCCACCACAATGGCTTTTCAGTTTTCGGAATTGCCAGGTTTTATCGTCCATAAATAACATTATGTTTTTTCCTCTCTTGGTCAGACATCTTGGCGTGAAACGTATCAGCTGGAAGATGAAGAGAAGGCTTTCGCCATGGCGCTTGAGCTTTCCCGCAAAGAGCATGAACAAAGACAGTCCACAAGTAGCAACCAGCAGCATCAGTCGGTAATAACAATATTTCATGCTGAAATAGTTTCTAACAATCACTTCCGCGAGGGATTCTTAAATAAGCAATCTTAGTAGTGAAGGGCAAATTTGGCGTTGCTGATTCTTTTACTCGTTCACCCCCATATTTGTAGACACTTTTCCAAAGTCTTCTGTGAAAACTTTGGCTCAAAAGCACCAACACAAAATGATCTCATCCGCTTGCCTGTTTAACGGTTAGGTAATCAATTGCCATTTCTAATCCTTTGTGTTACAGCAAAGAAAAGCATGACTTCCATACGCTCACTGGAGTCGTATGAAATCAGTATTTTTCATTGCAACGCCTTCCTTAACTCGAGTGGGGTTCCAAAAAAGTACAGTTTTTAACCATAAAATGCTATGTCAATAATAATGTATAAAAATTACGTTCCTCTTTAAAGGAAGAATTCCCAGTAAGACGTGGTCAGAACTACGAGGAAGACGTTGCTTTATCACGAGCACTAGAGCAATCAGCTCTAGACTCGTCATATGTGGCTTCCAAAAGATCTGCCGGATTGGAGGCCAAGGGTCAAGTTAGACACATTTCTCTTGGCGGTATGTTATTAGTTTTAAAACCAAATAGATTTCTTCCCGCCGTTCTCTGCTATTACTTAAAATGTCCGCTTTCTATCCGATAGGTGATGTTTTGTCAAAAACAGGAAATCGACTGGCAATACCGCTTTGCCTTCCGAACAATTGTAGATGGGATTCGAAGAAGAGTCAGTATCTTCAAACAGGGGAGAAACGTCACTCGCTGTATGTTGTGGAAGAAGCCCTTGAAAAGTTGAGGAAGATTAAAGGTACGCTTTTCAATAAGGTGCTTTAATTGAGCGATCGACCTGTTAAGAGTAAAATAAAAAAGTTAGGTTTTCAAAAAATCATGGTTAAATGATAGAACTCAACAGAATTGGCCTATGGCACGGCTGTTAACAAAAGGACACGTACACTCTGTTTGAACGTAGAATCGCTAATTTTATCATATACATTATATCTTCTAGGTCCGGTATGTGTAGTATCTATTGCCGGCCCATACAGAAAAGGAAAGTCATATATTCTAAGTGAAGGATTTGATCAGCCACAAGTATTTCCTCTTGGACATCACATGGACCCTGAAACAATGGGAATCTGGCTTTGGATTGTACCTGGAATCTTCAAGGTTAATTCAAAACTACCTGTCATTTAAATCAGTAATATTGCAAGTAGCCATTCATATGATATGTTTGTAATTACTTTAAAGGCAATAATTCTTAGTCAATTTAGGAGGCTTTTTGTCCCCTTACCCCATTGAACCCCTGCTACAGCAGCCATGTGTCAAAGACGCACACGGATAAAGGCATTCTTCACACGCCTGAGATGTGACGTCCACTATACAACACCAATCCTCCCTGTAACATTTTTGTTTCCTTTCTGTGTGCATGATAATGCGGAGGGGAATGGGAGTTGGGGACCATTAGGAAAGAAAATCACCCAGCCCTCGACAGAGTAAGCAAAACGACTAGCAAATTGCAAACGGTGATCTTCTACTGTCCTAACTCGTACAAAACTTACCCACGTGTTTTTGTGCATTCTTAATATGCATGATTCCATTGATGCTTTCCTCTAGGACTCCAGGGGCCAGAGGTTCACCGTGGTATTACTTGATTCCGAAGGAATTGACTCTGTTACCGGTGAAGGACTCGATGACAACCAGATTTTTACTTTGACAGTATTGCTGGCATCGGTTCTAATATACAACTCACAAGGTGTTCCTACCCGGCGGGATCTCGAAGGACTTGAGTATCCTTAAACATGATATTAAGTATTTAAGTCTCATATTTTTCGTATGCAGGATCACCCTACCGTGGCACTTTTAAAACATTTTTGATTTTTATTGGTTATGCACGATATAAGATATGATATGTATATGATGTATATCAATGATGTGATATATTTTTAACAGTTATTCCATTAGTGCGCGTTGGATGTGAGATGGTAGAGGCCAACTAGGCACGTAGCGCCGAGTTGCCTATAACCATCTCATATCCAACAAGCGCGAGTGAATAATCTTTTATTAAAAACGTCCAAAAAATATGGAGAATTCTTCCCGACTTTATTTGTAAAACAACCGATTTTCAGCTTGTTCTTAATTTTGAGCAGACGCGTACAGTTACCATATCTGGAGAGCATGGTATAATGGCTCATATACCATGATGGCTAAGCCAGTCAAAGCTCTAAAATTGCATTATCCAATAATCAGGTTTTAATAAATATATAACAATTATTCACTGTAGTGGAGCTGGCTAGTGGTGGTGGATATTTAAAACAATTCTGAAAAAAAAATTATTAAATTTAGTTTTAAGCTTATTTATAAACAAGTCAAAGTAACGCAAGACATTGTAAACAAAAAACTTTTTCACCTGTTTTATCGATGAATTCAAGTCAAAGCTTTACCTGTTAAAACTTCCAAACCGAACTTCGTCACCTTCTTCGTGTATGTCGGGAACAGCTTGCTTGATTACTTGTGAAATTTCTTTGTTTCAGTACGGCAGCAAACCGGGAAGGCATTTTGCTCGCAACTTACGTGAGTTTGGCGTCGCTCGCTCAAAGGAACTGGAGGTGCATCAGTGAATAGTGCAGGATATTCACTGATTTAGTAGCCAACCAGAGCGCGCGAAAAACACTATCCCCTGTTTTAGTGTATGCTAAATATATTTAAGCAAAAGACCACGCTTTCTATGGGTTTACCTGCGTGATAGCCCATGCGGGATGTTGGGAGAACACGAGAAAAGCTTGTAAATCACGAGCCGAAGAATGTAGTTTTCTTTAACCATTACCCAGGTTTATTGTTAAGTTATCCCAGCGCATCGAGGTACGATCAAAAACAAAAAGTGTTGCTGGAAAAAGACACCAGGACTCAGAGTTTTTTCATAAAACATTTCCTTTCTTTATCTGGCTGCTGCGAGACGTTGCCCAGGAAATCCCACGAGATTGTCGCAACATCAAGGACTACTTTCTCAAGAAGGTAAACCTATACTTAATAGGTAATAGCTAGGATGACGCATTTAAAATTACCATAGGCAAAATGCGTGACGATGCCAAGAATCGACTGAGATGTTGCAGTGATAAAAATGCATATAGGTAGATTGGCTATGTAAAGGTTATTGGAATAGTAAGTTATGATTATGGTAATTTCTGGTTTGGAACCCAGCAAATGAAGATTTTCTTACCTTTTTTACACAGATTAGTAAAAGGTTTGCTTCTCGTTAGGCTAATCATTTTCAGTTTCAGGTGCATAGTTTAGAAAGAAGTGTAAACATTTTTAACATATATTTGAGTCATAATTTTTGCAAAGGCCTGTTGAAGTGCTCTGCTATTTTCTGGAGCTACATCGGGTCCGCCACCTCTCTGTCTTAACATGACGTCATCATCCAATAATTTTCCTGTTTTTTTTTATGATAAATGAATACAGAGCTCCAGTTAAATAATGGAAAAACTATTCCAAATCCTCAAATATTGATCAGGGCAAGCTAATGGGGAAGAAAAAGCCGGGTAAATTAACCCTATTCCGACTGGCCTTGTTTTTCTTCATGCGACCGAAGGGGCGGAGGAGAGGGTGCTCGCCCCCTATAACTTCAAAAACCGCTCATGCTATGTCCACCATAGTTACACAGAATAATGTACTCATCGTTTTCAACTTCTGGGTATAACTTGATGGGCATAATGACGTTATCTGACGTGACATCATGATCATGACGTCATAATTCTGAATTTAGATAATTCAAAATGGCGGATCCAAGATGGAGGATGCTTTCTGTTCCTTTTTTCGTAATAAATGACATGACATTATCATGACATCACTGTAACTGTTAATGATCATTTATGTGTTAGCTAACTTCTTGACTTTATCAGAAACCTTACTATTTAAGTATTTTTCGCTTAATGCCTACTTTGAGGGAAACTTGAATTCCGCAAATATGTTCAGCATTATGAAGTCATGATGGCGTCAGATTAAAACCCCTATAAATCTAGGTATTCTTAATAGAAAAAGTGATCCGCGTTTAAAAGGATGCTGAGCAACAAGCAAAAAGATCTGCAAAATGTGAAATTTTGAAGGAAATGAACACGATTGAAAATTTAAACTCAGCATCTGCCATTTGATCATATTAAACTTTTTTTTTTCATGCTAGTCATTAAAAGGCCGAGATTTCATTAAAACTTACAATAACTTTGATTGAATGATGCTAAATAAAGTGTAATATAACAATGCAGTCAGTAAACAGTAAAAAAACTCTGTTGCCATGGTAACGTAAATATTGACGCACGATAGCTTGATAATATCCCAAGATAAATTTTAGGAAAAGGTGCGAAGATTGGTGGTCATAGCTTGAACGGTTTTAAAGTAATTTAGTTTTTTGGAGAGGGTTGAAGCCCCCACGGTCTGAATAGGGTTAAGCCAATAAAAAAACGACGAAATATTTGAATGTGTTATGGGCTTTTGGTGTGGACATTCCCAATATCTTTTTGTAATTTACCTACGAATTAAATAAACGTTGACATTCATTACACCTTCCGTGAGAAAAATTTTCCACATCTGAACCGTTTCTGTAATTCCGAATTTTCTGTGAGGTCTGAAATGACCACTTTTGAAATACATATCTTAATTTTTTGCAGGTTTTTAAGGTCCATGATTCATCCTCTGCATCTCCGGATGACCAGCAGAAAGTTGCTGAAAGCATTTTAAGCTTTTTTCATGGTTTCGAAGCGTTTACTTTGCCATCTCCCACCGTTGATCCAGAGATGCTAAAAAGCATCAATGACAATAGAAGGCGGATAAATCCTTTGTTCCTGAGTGGCTTAGAGGCATTCAAACGGCTACTGGGAGACGTTTTGACTCCTAAAAAGAGTTTCAATGAAGGAGAGCTGGTTGCAGGAGAAGGTATATATCTGTTACTAATCTGGAAAAAAGGCGCTTTTCTTGATGCCTTTAGAGTGAAACGATAAACTGAAAAAACATCCGTATCTGTCGGCGCTAATTATACAGAAGGGTCTGGAGAGAGTTTAAGAATGGGGATTGAGACTGGAGCGCGCCTCGATTGAGGGATTTACCCTGATTCTGGTGACGCTTTAACTCCTTGCCTAAGCGACTTTGAGAAAAAAAAGAAGCGACCGTTTAGCGGTCCAGTGAAAAGAACGCTTGGAAAGGCAGTTGCATTCCCAAGCTGTTGCTTTACCAAGAAACTTTACGTCATAGAAAGTGCAGCGTACGCGGTTATATTCCGAGGTGTTTGTGTCAAGGCTCGAACGAGCGAGGTACGAGCGATTGAAATAGTTTTCTTAATGTAACACATATTACTAAGAGCAAATCACAAATAGTAGAACCAAGTGCAAATTTAATAGCAATGCAAATCTCGCAGCACATCTTGTCCTCATCGTTCTGAACCAAAGATTCACTTGCAAAATTTTAATCTAGTAGGTACATTACAAAAGACAGACCTCAGCGACGTGCGTTTCTAATATTGTTCTCCGTCTTTCTTTCGAACTTGAAGTAGAAAATATACCATTAACACGTCGAGATCTCTTGCATCAATATTTTCGAACTCTCTGGGCTCGTTCCTTGAAAATTAAAACTTTTTCAAGAACGAAACATCTCTCTGTGTTTTGCTTAATTTGTTCTTGTTTTCTTGAGCAGCGGCACAAACTCTTCTAAGGAGTAACCAACCAACACAAACCTGTTAATAGTTTTCTTTCGTCCCCGCCATTTTCTGTAGAAAAACTTGGAGGCGCCTCTAAAAAGCCGCCAAATCTGGAAAGCCATTTGAATGCAAACGATGAACAACTCTGATTGGCTCAAAGGTATTTACGCTGTCGTTGAATGGCTATACTTCCACTCGTGAAAACAGCTGTACCGCCCATTCTGATTGGCTGTATAAGCTTTTGTCGCTTGTGAAAACGTACAAAGGGTATAAATTTATACAAAGAAGCTTTAAGAAACAAAGGTCTCGGAATACGTGTAATAATCGCAATTGTTTATTCCAGTGGCCTGAATAAAGTTCTGATTTATTGTCATTTTCCAGGTCTCGCTGCATTGGTTCAGTTTTACGTTGAAGCAATTAATAGTCCAGGAGTAATTCCTAATGTCCAGAATGCCTGGGAAGCCTTTGTGGAGATGAAGTGTTCCGACACTATAAAAAGAGCCCTGGAAACTTACGAAAATGTTATGAAGTCAAAGCTGAAAGGCAAGCTTCCTTGTGATAATGGCGAACTACGTAAGGTACATGGAACTGCATTTGAAACAAGTGAAGCTTACTTCATGGCAGAAACAGCGGGAATTTCCACAAGCACCACTGAAACGTATCTAAACAAACTAAAGGTTCGTTTAAAAGAAGTAGTAGTTCAGTGACCAGTATTTGTTTATTCTATTCAGATCAGGGGTGGGTTGGGTTGTTGTTAGCAGGGTTGAATGAATGCGGAGAGTCCTGTTTTACGGAATGTTTCACTATCCTTGATACCGCCGCCTCTGGATTCCAGTTAAAGATTAAGGAGGCAATAGAGAAACCTATTCTAAATCAATAGGTGAAACATGTAAACTTGTCACTTTCCATGTAACTTAACTGATATTTCTGCTATTTTTTTTTCTCCTCGTTGTTCTTTTTTCACATTTAGCTTCCACCGAAATCGCTGTAATTAGCATTTTCAAATTGTAACTACTTCTCCAACTTAAGATATTCAAATTGTAACGAGCTTCTACAACCGAAGATGGCATAAGTTTGCCGGAACAATTGTCTTGTAAATTGAAAACTGTAGAGTTTTTTTTTTAAATTATTGTGAAAATTTCAAAATAAGTTAAGCTACCTATTATGCAGTTTATTCTTATAACAGTATCCAATTAGAACAATTTTCCGTGTAAAATAGCTCCACGCAATCACAATTATCTATAGTTGTGACCTCTCACGTGAAAACGCTCACTAACGGCCCTGTTAAACGGGTGAATCGCAGGGCTACTACCCCGCGAGCAGAGGTTTGGCTTTAAGCGTTTACGAATGCGTTGGTGTCGCTTGCCGGTGAGTAATCTCGTAGTTGGTTTGTCTACGTATTAATATTGAAAGTGAAGAATGATCATCGCGGTAAATTTCTCTTTTTATTTATTTAATTTTATTTTTTTATTATTAAAATTAAAAAAAAATCGAAAGCCCTGGTTACAAACGGCTTACTTATCCGTTCGAACGAGGCCATCGAATGGCTGAACGGATTATTAAGTATTCCGAAGAATATGGAGAAGTTCCTTAGAAACTGATGTCCGGGTTCAGTTTGTCTATTTTTTTCTGCTGGCCATTCCCGGTTTTAAGCGTCCTTTTTCTTTTGTCAGGAACTTTTAAGTGTGAAGTTGATCGCATGGCAGACCGAGAATGCGAAGTTAACAAGAGAATTATGTAACGATCTACTTACTCAGCTCAAACAGAATCATCTGGATCCAGTCCTTCGACGACTGCAGGGAAAAGAAGCGGCCAAAATGTCCTTTGAGGAGGTCATTGCCGGGTACAATAAGATCAAAGAGGATTACTACAATTCCGCAATTGGTGCCAAAGATGTTATTGCTGCTGTTTTCTTCGAATTCCACCCAGTAAGACCCTACTTTACTAATTAGCACTTTTTGATAGTACTATGATTGGCTTTTCTTTCGCTCGTAATTCTACAAGCAACTAAGCAGGAAAAAGACGTGATTTTGGTGTAATCGTAGAATTATAATCGAAAGAAAAGTTGCCTTTGTCTACACTCTTATAGATTATAAAAATAACGTTTAAACGCCCTGAAAATTTTAGCCTGATATTGAAAAAATGACAACATTACCAGCCTATGCATCGTTTAGACCATTAGCACAGACGCAAGGATATATGTAAGCTTTTCTGATAGGCGGGTTCCTTTAGGGTTTCTTATAAGCCTCACGATTGGCCTATTTCGTACGTGTTGGTGACGGTTGGGCGCAGTGACATATCAAAATTCACAAAGAGGTTGGCAAGGAGCGTATACTGTGAGCAAGTATTCTCGAGTATTCTGCCATCTAGCTGACAGTTCTAGCGTCAAAATAATAATGATAATAATAATAATAATAATAATAATGATAATAATGATGATGATGATGATGATGATGATGATGATGATGATGATGATGATGATGATGATGATGATGATGATGATGATGATAATAATAATAACAGCAACAACAACAAAATATACAATGTAGTTATTCAGGTCAAAGCATTTCGAAGAAAGCCAAAGAAACTGAGGTTATTTAGCCACAATAAAGAGCTTAAGGGTTTAACAGAGGTAAAAGAATCATTTAATAGCAAACTGCCTCTGTGATAAAATCCTGTCAGAAAACACCTGAAGTAACGTAAACCACAGGAACTAATTACTCAATATGCATGGAACAGACCAGCTTTAAAACCTCCAAAAATGAGATTACTCAAAGGGGCAAAAATAAGATTTGCTCAGTCAAAGTTTAGAATAATCTAAGCAAAAAGAGAACAAGAAAAACCTCTGTTGTTCAAGGTGACTCTAATGTCACGTTTCACAATATCACGAGCTCATTCTCTCTTGCCACGAACTATGAGTCGTTTTTGGCATGTCAACACTTTATTTCAAAACAGACTTATCACAAACTGCGTAAGAAACTAGCTAATCAAAAACGCCGACGTATGTCTTTGCGACTCTGCAGGATTCTCAAGCAGGATTCGAACACGATATTGTGCACGCAGACGCAGACGCTCTATGCAGGGGTTTAGAGTGTCTGCGACACAGGCTAACTAGAAAGTTGATTCCCATTTGAAATATATTGTTTGGGGCCAGGGTCCTCTATGTGAAAAATGGCTATGTGTTTTAAGAAGGAAAAACAAATTTGCGTCTTAAACCTGGATGGCCATTTTCTCACTTTAAGGCATTTTGAAAGACCCAGAAATGGACGACAACCACAGTTAGCCGTCGAACCTTCCTTGCTCGAAACTAGATCCCAGGAAGAAGTGATCGCATTTTTTTTTAGTTATTGGCATGCGCTATTTGACCTTTATTTTTCGTTCTTCTTATCATTCTCAAAGGCTCTTTGTGATCACTTCAGGAATTGATGAACCTTTTTTTATATTCGTTGTGTGCCCAGCCGGTGGTAGTGGAGTTTTGAACAAGAATTTCAGATATTGAAAGCGGATGCTCACGCGCAGTATGCTTGATTTGTTTAGATATCTTATTCAAGCGCATAAACTAATTGTACGTCAGGCTGACCTGAAGAATAAAGTCCTTTCTCTATTTTATGGCATGGCATATCATAGGTTTTAAGCTTCTCCCTCTCCTTATATCAGTTGACCATTTTAGCATTCTAGTGGAAGCCTTAGAACTGCTGCCAGTTTTAACTGATCACCCTTGACAGTAAAACACCTCTTGCCAGCATTACGAAAACAAAGCAGGAAGACCTGTTGTCTTCTTCTTTCAATCCAACTCGAAATCCGAACCTGCTATTTCAAGCATGCATTGATTGGAAAAAATAGACGTTCAAGGCACCGACCATTATTGTTAGTTGTTTACGAGTGGCAATATTACCTTGACTATTGTTTATCTTCCATACCAACGGTAGTTGTTTCAGTTGACCCTGTTCCAGGCTTTAAGATGGTGGGGCGGAACGGAGCAAAGAAAGTTGAGCAGGGATAACAGTAAGGTGGAAGAGTAGGAGGTGGGAGCCGTGGAACGCCTGTGGTACTTTTAAACAAACGCTCGTTCCGATATACTGGCTCAGATTCTGTTATACCCTAAGGCTTAGCCTGAATTTCATCCGATTACTTTGAGCCGTTATTACTCCCTCAGTAACGTCTGAATCGACCGGCCGTTACTGCCATCCAGTGACGTCACTACTTCTTTGTTTTAATTCATGGGAAAAGTAAAACACGATTTTCAAGTGGCAAACCATGAAACATCGTTTGGAAATGTCTACATGATGCTGAACTGCTTTACTCTTTTCGATCGTAATTCATGTTTAACGTTCATACTATCAACTGTATGCAGTACTCTGAGCCGGTTGTAATTCAACAATCAAACTCGGTCGCAATCACGTAATGAAATAACTACACACACGGAACACTTAGTTCAAAAACACAGCAATTTCATTTAATTGAAAAAGAAATAAAGCAAGGAAAACAAAGCAAGCAAAAAAAGGAAAGCTAACAGAATCATTACACTTGATGGTGGAAATGACAAGAAGGTCGAGCTATAACTTAAGCCTAAATCTCCGCTGAAACTTCGCAAAAAAACAAATCACTGGGGAAACCACAAAGCGGCTTTAAATAAAAAACCTACCGACTCTCCGCAATGATTCTTCATTCTTAGTTCAAGACAACGGTAATTTTGCTGTTTACGATACGATTATCAAAATGTTTGAACTCCACGCAAGCAAGCCAAGGATGCGATCTACTGAGTATCAAGCGACAATCATCACTAAAATTTCTCATAATTATACATAATGATGCGAATGTTTAGACAATCAAGGAATCAAAAGCACTACCCGGTTATCGGGTAGTGACGTCACTGGACGGTATTGACGGTCGGTCGATTCAGGCGTTGATGAGAGGAGAAAACGACTCGAGGCAATCGGATGAAATTCATGTTACCCTTAGGCTATGATAGGTTTATTTTGACAGCTCTAGTCAGCACTCGAAGGTCCATCACCTTGATTGGAAATGTGATGCGACAACGCTAGAGATAAAAAAATGAGTTCGTCTTGAACGCGCGGTGAATGTGGCATGTTGCTATTTCTACTTTTTTCTCGGTAGGCCCTTTTGAAAGAACAAGAACAATATTTAGGATTGCTGGGACAACTGAAAGACTATGATGAGGTACTAACCCAGGAACTTGCAGCTAAGGCTTATCAAGAACAGGAGAGGCAAAGACTTGAGGTATCTTTTTTTTCTCTTACTTCCATTTCTTTCTCAATAATAATAATAATAATAATAATAATAATAATAATACTGATAATAATAATAGTAAAAATAATAATAATAATAATAACAATAATAATTTTAATTTTAATATTATTAGTAATAATTTTTTACAGGAGGAACAAGAGCGATTGCGTCAAGAGAATCTGGCAGTTAAAAAAGAGGTAATACTATGTTCGCATGCAGTTATCATTATATGGTATGAGTTACATCACCATTTCATGTATATTTGGATCTTCAACAATGTTAACCGGCGGCTGGTATATCGAACCAAAATGCCCACTGCGAGAGTTTGTCCGAAACATACACATTTGGCCGAGATTGGAAAATTTTAATTTTTGAGGAAAATCACAGAGTCAGCTATATTCCATCAAGCCAGAAAGGAGTTTGATTTTCCTGCTTCCATTTGAAATTGAGACTAACTCTGTTGACTTTGTTTTGCGACCGAAAAATCGTAGGGCAAATATCGTTGAGGAAGGGTTATATCGCCCGAAACCAGTCCTCCGATTGAGCACCACGTGATCCAAAAATAGCCAGCAAAATCGCGCGAAAAATAATCGGCTATATATCAGGGGCACCCAACGAGAATATGGTTCAAAACCACTTAAACATAGCATTGTTAAACGTATTTTAGTATTTAAACGGTAGATATAGGCATATTTTTATCCCCTAAACATTTTTCATCTGTTCGGATTTCCTAGCTGAGAGTCTAGTGATCCGAAAATTATAGGGACCAAAACTTACCTTTTCGAAAGCTTCAGCCAGGTAAAAGGCTCCCGAAAATTCTAGGTGATCTTTTTAGGGTAAAAATCCGTTAAAAATGGGCAATTATACCATTTTTTAGATGTTCGAAAGTCCTAGGAGAGGCAGGCAATCAAAAAATTTTACAACAAATGTTCCGAAAATTCTAGATCTCAAATCGTCTTCCGAACAGATATTTTCCGAAAATTGACGTTGGGTACCCCTGATATATATAGGCTAAATAACCAAAATGTGAACGAAACTGGATTTTCTGTGTTGTGCTTATTTACTGAGTTTACAGAGTGAAGTTTGGCAAGGGCGTTTGAAGATCACGGCTCGATAACAATTCCAATAGGCGAGATTCGTATTCCCGGGGCGCGAAAGCGAAGCTAATGCGGGTCACTTCTCACGAATAAGACAAACAAACATGCTAAAACTGCAGATGAGTTGCCGAAAAAAAAGGAAAATTTGAAACGTTGATAGGTTTTGGAGATGTCAAAACTTACTTACAGGCTTGAGAAATCATTGTTTCAAACAGCAAAAGGAAAATCAGCTCATCATCACTGAGAATAACAACAAGTCTAACCAGAAATTGACCGAAATAGTGGTCGGTGAGTGAGTTCAATAAAAACGCGAAGATGGTTTCAAAACCTTAAACAAGGTAATACCCTGAAGCCATTTTGATGTTATTTTTAGTGATGATTAAAACGTCTTTAAGCCACACCTTCCATTGGAGTGTAGTTACTTGTCGAAAGCCTTCAAGTTAAACTGAAACCTTCTTTTTAGTAGACATTCTTTCAACGGAACGAATGCAAAATCTTGGTATTTGAAAAAAATAATAAAAAAAAAAAAACCGACGGGGTAGCCATTCTGCATAAATTCCTTACACTGTAAGGAAGTTAAATCGGTTTAGACAAAGATGACTAAAGTAATATGGGTTATTTAAACAAGTTTAAATTTAGCTTACATTATATATCAAAATATTCAGTCACATAAAGAAAAACGAACGCACATTTCACTCGACAAGAACTCGAACACAGAATTTTATACAAACGATATACTGAGCAGTTTAAACTCCATTTTACAGATATACACTCTAAATCAGAAAGACCTGTTTTAGCCCTAAAAACAGGGCCGTTTCGGTGAGTAAAATACAGTCCTATTTTTGGGTCTAATTTGGCTCCCTTAAATCAGGGCCAATACAGTCCAATTAGCTAGGGCTGATTTGGTTCCAGGGCTGAAATGGGCCCTACCGTGGGCTGGAATAGCCTTTTGATAGAGCTTTTTTGGCCTAAATTGTGCTCAAATGGCTCCAAGAAGGGCTGAATCAGACTTTGGCCTGCAGGGCTGAATTCACACTTCGGGGCTGAAACAGATCTATTAATTTACAGTGTACACAGGAGAGTAAAATGGAATACTAAGAAGTAAGATAATTAAAGGGAGTAAAGTATTGTCATTTTAACACACTTTACCCTTTTCAAGCTTAAAAAGTTTACTTCTTCTTTTGGCTTTGTTGCTTTTTTCCTTTCTTCTGTAGCCTGCGTGGCAGGCGTTTGAAAGGGAAGGGAAAGGGAGTTTTAGGTGCGAGAGAAACGCGAGGGGGGCGCGAGGAGGGAGGGAGGGAAACGCCTGCCAGGAGACCATTGTTTTTCTCGTTTTTAACATCCACCAGGCGAATGTTAAAATCCTAATTGGTCCGTCTTCAAAACATGTCAATCATAGCCTTAATACCTTAATCAGATTGGCTGAAATCAACATCACGCTGAGTAACTTAATCGATCTTTCAGTAATCATTTAAAAATATGCTGTTAGTGAGGCGTGATGAGATTTCTGTATGGAATTCATCGCTTTAGAACGATTAGAAACTGAAGCTAGGCATCAATGTCAGCTAGAAGAAAGCAGTTAAAAGACTCATATGAAGGAAAAGACCTGTCAGCTAGATGAGTTTTGCTGACTGGTTTTGAGAAGTCTTGTCTCCCAACAGCTTGTTTTACTCACTAGAAGAAAGAAAGGAAAAATCATGCTGCCTGTGTGCTTGTTATCTGCTGTTTGACCTCAAACGCTTACCACGCAGGCTACGCTTTATCAACGACCAGATTGTTGAAAACGAAGCGATCTATAATCCTTAGCGGTTTTTGGTTTGAGGACTTCTTGCTGGTTATAGACGTTATAAAGTCGCCAGGAACTCCAGTGCGAGAGTCAGCGAAGTGTTTGTAATTAATTTCTCCGACAAACATTGCATGCAAGCTGGGAAGTCCAACACGACATTTCAGCAAAAACGTAATAGATTTAAGCTGGATTTTATATAACAAGCCACGCATGGTTGCAACTTTCTTCCTTCAACAGACGACCGCATTTATACTTTTTCTTAATAGTACCTTCACTTCAGATTTCTTGTTTTAGGAAAACAAAAGAAAAACAATACGCGAAATACGACTTAAATAAGCTCATCGCGGCCAGACTTATTTGACAGCTAGTCATTCACAGTTGCGTTATTTTTGCATACATAATTAGTAGGCGGGATGGCAAAAACAATGGTTTCCTGGCAGGCCTTTCCCTCCCTCCCTCCCTCCTCGCGCGCCCCTCGCGTTTCCCTCGCGCCCCCTTTCCCTTCCCTTTCAAACGCCTGCCACGCAGGCTATTTCTTCTGTTAAGTGCGATCATCTTTTCCCACAATTTTGTTGTTGTAACAGATGCCCCTTTGGCTTACTGGTAAGTTTAAGCTTTGAAATCTTACTTCTTTTAAGTTTTCTATCTTTTTCCAGCGACTCAGCGGCAAATTACCTATGTTTGTTTTTGTTTTCGCAAAAAATTTGACCCGCGTTCGCCTCGCAATCGTGCTCGTCCCAGGGCAGTCGGGGAATACGAAACCTGCCTATTCAACACGAACTCATAGAAAGACCAATTATGATAAGTTGGGGGTGAAAACATTTATTGTTAGTTTCATGTCCAATTGTAGATGGAGATGTTAGGGCGAAAACAGCATGAGGAAAGAAAGAAGTTCAGCGAGCAGATGAACAATGAACTTCAGGCGCAGAGGGAGCAGATGAACAACATGATGGAAGCAAATATGGAGCGAGCGAGAAAGGAGAGAGAGGATTTTATGCAGGAAAACCAACATCTCAAGAAAGAGTTCCTGTCAGTTCAGAAAGCAAACGAAGACAACATGAAAATGATTGAAAAACTCAGAGATATGGTGGCTAAGCAAGAGGAAGAGAAACGTCGTATTAGTATTGAAATAGAAAAAGCAAAGAATGCCAGGGACCATGAAGACATCATGGCAAAGATGGAGGCCAAACACAAGGAAGAACAGGAAAGGTTGCGTCGCGATATGGAGGCCAAGATGGAAGCGAATCGTCAGGCCTTGGCACAGGAATACCAACAGGCTGCGGCAGAAGCTCGAGTGCAACAGTTGGACGAAATGCAAGAACAACTCTACCAGGTGGGAAAACAGTTAGAAGAAGTTAAAAAACCAAACTTTCTTCAGAGGGCATGGTCTGTAGTCAAAGAAGTAGGCGGTGCTGTGGTTGACGCTGGCGCTGCTGTTGTTAGGAAAGTGAAAGATAATTGTTCAGTGATGTAATAAAGTACAAGTACATGTATCATTTTTATGATCCTTACATTTTCAGTTTATGCAATTAAAATATTTTTGGCCCTTAGGGCCTCAGTTTGGTCTGGGCGGGCCCCTCTGCCCCTCCCCTGGAACTACCACTGGGTATAAAAGCGTAGTGAGAAAACTGTGAGAAGTTGATCTGAAGAAAAAAGGGAGAAAGAAGAAAGAAAAGATGACGTGCATTAAAGGTCACGCTTTTCTGAAAGCTTAACGCTTTGTCAGGATATAGATTTTTAAAAACAGTGTTTTTAAAATCATTTCAATTACAATAAGTAGTGTCAATCTGTCCACAGCATCACAACCGAAACGACACTGGTCAAACATCACTTTTACCACTGGGATTTATACAAGAAAGTTTCTCGTTTATTACTTAGTTTTGATTGTAGAATGCTTTGTTTTTTTGTTCCAAACAAGAATCGAATATCTGAGACTCAATCATAAATGGTTAGCAGAGGAGAGTCCGCAAAACAGAATAAAAGCTCAGATAAAAATGATTGTGTCAGTCTTTTTGTATTTGTATTTGTATTTTTCTTACTTCACTCACTGTGCCTAAAAGTCGAACATTTCTTCGGGTAAGCTATTTCAGAATTATGGTGCTGTGATTTTGTACAGTCAAGTCCAACGAAGGCTAAGGAAATGATGACATAAGAGACTTCTGTCGGGCTTTATAATCCCTGCACTTGTGGTTTGGTTTTCTCGCACCGTATTAGCTTTTGCCTTGCTTTTAGTGTACATAGCTTTATAAGCTTCACCGTACAACAGGGGCATTTTCTGAGAAATGGAAGAGAAGATCTTGTGTGCTATTAGTGCGCTCAAACACCAACAGCTGCCTACTACGTGTAACAACCTATCTAACAAAAAGAGCCTCTTCAGTACAACATCGGAATTTCAATGATAACTGCTTGTCAACGAAGGTCATTTCACTACAGGTGAGCGCAATCGTACCTAGACTCTCGGAGGAAGACATACACTCATTTCGCCGTGACATAATCAGCTGGTAGTGAAAAGTGAAAAGTGATTTTATTTTACTACGTTTGGAGTGGAAATACAAAACAAAGACGTTTTCATTGCTAGAATCAATCATATTTACACTTGAAAACGAAAGCAGCTTGTCGCGGTGAATGCATGTGTGAAACCCCTTCTCGTAGATGAGGCTATTCCCTAGCTTTCCCCTGGCCGATCCTTTGCAAATGCAATCTTTTTTTAATTTAAATTATAGCTTAAAGGTTGTAAAAAACAAAAAATCGACTGTGTTAAACCGGAGAAACATTTAGGTCTTATGCTCACACACATTTGAAATTTTGAATATTCATATTCAAAACATGTTTCTAAGGAAGCTTAATCTGATAATTCCTTTAAAGTACTCTAAGTCTGTTTAACTTATTACATATTGGAAACGGTGGGATCAATATATAGGTTTAAACAGGAATGAGTAGCATCTAGAAATACTGAGGAAAGATATTCCTCATCGTGGTATGTGTATGATGGGCTCTTTTATTGTTTGTATCACGGTAGTCACTATGCCATTACAGTGGAACACCGTTAATACGGTCACCAAAATGGGTCAAAAAAATTTGGCCGTATTTACGGGTTGGCCGTATTACCGGGGCAGGGGCAAATTTCATGACTTAAGGACCGTAATGACGAATACACCATGTATTCGCATTCTCACTTCTTGCCCAACTGTGCCCTAAACAACAGGAATGTAGATATATCGCGTACCGTAATTCTAAAAACTACTTGAAACTTTCGTTTAGTCCATAAAACACTTTTAAAAATCGACTATTAGACCGCCGCCACAAATGCATTGTAAGTGATAGTCTAAAAACAGTACAAAAACAAGCTCAGGGCCCACCCTTTTAGATTTTCCACTTTTTCTGGGAATTTTCAAGTGGGACGAACCGACGAAACGTGTTCCATTTACCGCCGAACCGGAAATTCCGGAAATTTTGACTAAATGGAAAGCGCTCCCAGACTCCTTCTACCGAGAACTCGGAAAACACTCACTTACGTAACTGTTCTCGGAAACAGTCTTTCATCTAAAGCATAATACTTCACAAGAACTGTCCGAAGTTGCTTGCAAATATATATTTGTAAATCATTGTATAATATGAAAATGCTACCAAAAATGTTGGTATAGCCTAGTGAAGTTCAAGAGGAAAAGCTGAAGGTACCGGTAAGTTGTACGACCCCGTGTTAAATGTTTTGTACCGCATAAACAACCTTGTGTTGGAGCGTCTGAAAATGTAAGTTCGTGGCTTTTGGCCCGCTTCAGGCGCCGAACCGTTTTCATGAGCCAAACCTAATACATTAAATTTATAGTACATGAAAAGCTCGGCGTCTGAATCAGTTTACTAAGAACGGCTCAGCCGGGAGATTTGACTTTGGAGCGAATTTGGCCGACGGCTTTGGTTCAGACGCTGAGCTTTCTAAGGCAGAAATTTCTATAAATATCGTACTTTGACCGAAATGGGTATTTCTCTCCTTTTGAATTTAGTTCGGTTGGGTCTAAATAAGTTCAGTCGATCGTAAAAATTTTGGTCGGCCGAAATTCCACTGAATTTGGTTCGGTTCATTAAAATTTGAGTTCGACGACTGAACCAAGGCTTAATGTTTCATTCGGTAAGTGTTGGACCGAGACGAAGATCAGTCTTAACAACTGAAGCATAAACGTACTTTTATTTCTAATTTAACCTTACCCTTATAGCAAAGTAAAACTCTTTGTTGATGGTCGAGATCTTAACAGGTGAAGTGATAGGCTTAATAATTGATGATAACATTTTCATGGTACTTAGAATCATGAAGTCTTTCCATTACCCTCAGCCGTAGAAAAGCAAGCAAATTAAAAGCTTTGATAACCCGTCCTTCTCAGAGCTAGAGATGTTAACTTCCGAATAGTAGTATTATAGTACACCGATGAGTTTCAACAATCGAAGTTTGTTTTATTTTATTTTATTTCATTTCATTCAGTTTGAAATATACACATATCAACATTTCTTCCGGAAATTGAAACTATCGGTAGTATTCCCGGAACTCCACTATCATCTGTTTATACATTTAAAGCCTGGCACCTTGTCCTTCGGAAGATATTCATTTTTTACACATATTTAATAAACAAAATTACATATGGATGGTCTGAGGGAAATATTCGATCCAGTATGTAACGTGTTAAATGTAATTTCCTTTGTGATCTTTACAATGAAAAATTCAAAATTGTTTGTTCACGAGTGAGAGGCATGTGGGTTAGCATATGATTTGAAACTGAAATTTCTCGCAGCTGGGGTTTTCCCAAACCAATCGAATGCAAATGCATTCATTAGTATATAGCGTTTAGGTACAAAGTTTTCGTAACCGCGCAGTTGTTTGGCGATGAACGATGTTTGAAGTCTTCTAGTATTGCAATTGAAATTACTTTCAAAAATTGCGTGCTTGGTTAGTCAGTGATGATAAGCTTGGAACCAGTGGAGCTCTACGGGACTTTCTGGAGGGACATTTCTCTTCGATGCAGTTCTCTTCAATGGTAGTTAGTCAGGTCCAAGATCCACATTAATCACAACCACGGTGTGGGGAAGGAGTACTTAAGGGGTACATTGTTTAATTTTGTCTAATCGCCGTGAGAAACCTCTGCTACCAGGCGGCGGAATTTCTAAATGTTTCTTTGTAGACTGTCAGGCCATAGGTTGGTAAATACAGTGGTGAGGTAAAAAGAAAGCGGGAAAAGAAAAGGAATCCAAAAAGCTCTCCAGAGCGTTAATAGAAATGGAGGTAAGTAATATTAATAGTTCGTTGTTTCCAGTTGTTATCTGGGTTAGCCAAAGGCAAACCTCAGTAAACAGCGGTAAAAAATCATAAAAACATTTAATGCCAATTGACATAGTTTTTTCTTCTTCTTCTTCTTCTTATTATTATTATTATTATTATCATTTTTAGGAATGGAGGGCACGTTATAAAACAACGGAGGACGAAGAAAAGGCCCTAGCTATAGCTTTGGAGCAATCGCTCAAAGAATATGAAGACAGCTGCAGCCGATTAGTAAGTGCATCGACGATTTGTTTATTGTTATTCTGGTTAGGTCTTTTTGGTTTGATTGAATTGTTTGATCGAAAGCTTGTTTAGCAATACCTGATAGGTAATGAAGGACTAAAGTCTACACGTTAGGAGGCAAGAGCACTGGACTGGAATCCGGAGAAAACTTGTTCAAGTTCTGTTGCCGTCCAAACTTACTTGATGTGTTTCTCCATCTCACTTATAAGACAACTACTGTTCTTCCTCCTGTAATTCGTAGCAGTTTCTTTTTTCACATGATTAACCCACATATTGTCTTTCCACCAGGAACACCGAGTACAGCAAGACAGATCGAGACGAGAAGCTGAACTATCGTCAGAAAAATTCCCCACACGAGTTAAAGAAAATCATCTGCGAACAAGTCCAGGTAGTGAGGATGTGCATTTGGCGCGTCATGTCTGCAAAGATAGTAAAGCAAAAATGCGGTCAGTTGGTTTAGTAATTTTACACGCAAGAAGTAAAAGAAAAAATCTATAAATTCGTATGTTTATTAAAACTTCATAAACCCGCAGAAAGGTTAGCAAGGTTGGGCAGGAGTACTAGACTACAAAGCGCGATATAGGCTGGTTTCGCTCCAACGGCGGCCAGTATCGACCCTTAAATGTGGAGAAATAAACTGAAGGTACTATGTACCTTCGCCTTGACTAGACTAGACAATAAGCGTGGCTTGGATGATCACTTATCAACGGCGGTCATAAACAGTGTCCTCAATTAAAATTTCACGTTCAATGCATTTGATTCTTGAATAAAGCAGTTGTTTACATCACTACTATAAGTACCCTCTATTAACCGTTTGTTCATTTTCTGCTTGTTTCCTGGTTTGCAGTCTGAGTTCTGGGATGAAATTCGCTTGATATGGTAATAGCAACTTCTTCGTGTTGATATTAGGCATTATAAAAAGTTTTGTCCCCCGAATTAAATCATCAGCGTGCAAGATCTCGTTAGGTCTGTTCTCCGCCAACTGCTTATACTTTTGGATCAATGTTTTCCAGTCACCGTAACATTGATATTTAAGCATCGGTGCTGGCTTATGAAATAGTATTTTTAAGTTAAAAAAATATCAAGACGGTTACCACTTTTCATTAGTAGCAACAGGGACTGCGAGTGCAAGCACTGGTGATGAGCGGAAAGCAATTCCTCTTTGTCTCCCAAATAACTGCAAGTGGAATTCACACGCTCGTGAGTGTACGAAAACAGAAGAACAACGCTCGTCTCTGTATGTGGTTGATGAAGCCATTGAGAAGCTCAGGGAAGTCAAAGGTAAGTGACCGTTTCTTACCATGGATTGCGGGCAACCTGAAAAATAATGTGGAGTATAAGACAACACTCTTCTACCGGTACTTTCTTCCTGGTTGTAACAGCAGAATGATCATCATCACCGGTTAAATTTTTGTGACTCTCAGACTGAATGTAAGATAATGATATTGTCAGATCGTTTATCAAGGAATAGCCTTCGCTCGGTGGGCGCTACTCAACGACACGGGGAGACCCAGCCCTGTGGTCCTACCCTATTTCTTCTTTAGTCATTTTACTGTAACATTAAAATAATTTAGTCTTTTCCTGAAACATTTTAAAGGCCCTTCTAAAGACTTAAAATATAAATTTCCCGACCCTTTCATATACTTTAACTCGTGATTTCACCACCCTTTGATACCCCTTTAGGGCCAAGCCTCCATTATAGGGAGCCCCCGCCCCACCCCCCTCTTCTCCGGGGGTGGTCTTCAATGTTACTCGTTGGAAAGAAAGTTTCTCGCTTTTTTAGGTCCAGTGTGCGTGGTGTCAATAGCCGGTCCTTACAGAAAGGGAAAGTCGTACATTTTAAGCGAAGCTTTTGATCAACCGGAGGTTTTCCCTCTTGGACATGAAATGGTTGCAGAGACCATGGGGATCTGGCTGTGGATTGTACCGGAGAAATATAAGGTAAGCAACAATCTTGCTTTTTACGTTAAGATACAAAGCCACATGAAATTACCCTAATCCCAGCGTTTAGGACTGAGATCAATATGAGCATTGCATTAGTAACGCAGCCGTGTATGGGTTCGAATCTCGCTGTATGGTTGATATTTTCCTCACTTCACGAAAAATTAGATTTACACAAATTTGCTCGGGGCAAATATGGTGCAAAGAAGTGCAAACGAGGAGGAAATCAAAGGCAAAGATAGTAAATACCGCACTTGCACAGCGGTTTACATGGGGTTGTAAAATTCGTGAGCAAATGCGATATTTACCATCTTTCCCGTTGTTTAACCTTAGTTTACACTTTTTTGCACCATATTTGCACTAAGTAAATTTGGTGTAAATCAAATTTTTCATCTACTTTTTTTTTACATTTAGTTTTATAGACAACCACTTTTAAGGAGCCTTATGGGTCGGATTATCCATCGCTGTCATCTCTAGAAAAGACCATAAAATGAGCAATTGCCGGCAAATTCAGAAAACCGTTAAATGTATGGGATGTAATTTTACTGTGTTGAAAGGAAAACCTTCTTTTCGTCGCTGTGAAAAATTTCAGCAGTAAACAGCAACTATAATTAGTTTGTGGTATTAAAAGTGTGTCCACGTATCCTAAACGTTGTTGTAACTACACAATCAACATTCCCCCTTAATTATTTCAGGAGTTCATGGTTTTGACTGTTTTCTGAGTTAGCTGGCAGTACAACGTATTAACTTATTGTCGAGGAAAAAATCTTTCGTACTTAACTGCAGCTTAACTTCTAGGATTCTAGAGGCCAAGAATTCACAGTGGTGCTACTGGATTCAGAAGGGATCGACGCTGCTTCCAGTGTTGGTTACGATGATAATCAAATATTTACTTTGACGGTTCTGCTAGCTTCCGTGCTTATTTACAACTCACAAGGTGTCCCCATGAGGCGTGATCTCGAAGGACTAAAGTATCCTTTACTTACCCTACTTTATCCTTATTCTCTCCTATTGCGCTTCGAGCAATTTCTTGCTTTCCTAATTGTTTGTTTGTTTGCTTCTGCTTTTTTTAGGGGGAGACAAAAGTACTGAAAAAGGTGGAGCTCTCATACATCCTAGGCATCCTACTGATGAACAGTTGCGACGCGTAGATATATATTTTTTAGCAACTAAGATGATTTGCAGTCTGTCTACTTTGAATTGAAAGGACATTTAATTGTGGCTTTATTTTATTTCATGATACCTCTCTTATTCGGAAAGATGAATGTATATTTCGTTAGGTGGTTAAGAGAGTGGCAGATTGAGTGACCTTCAAAACGTATCATTTTTATTTGAAACGGTAGTGGGAAAATACCTATTTACCTTAAGAAATTAACTCTAATGCATAATTTTCCTTAATACATACTAGTTTTATAGCAAAGCTGTCTCAAAGAATCCAAGTTAGATCAAACCAAGGGGTTGGTGTCAAACAAAAGGAAACAGAGTTATTTCACCGAACGTTCCCTTACTTCCTGTGGCTCCTGAGGGATGTAACGCAAGCTATTCCACGTGATTGCAAGGATTTGAAAGACTACTTCTTAAAAAAGGTTAGACAAAAATGTAAGACCTTTGCATCAAGAAAAGCAGTTGTTGTAAAGTGGTTGGAAATGTGTGTTAATTACCGATCTGATGTATTGTTTTCCAGGGCTCAGTTCCGTAAAACATCGTTAAGTTTAACTCAGGGTACGCCAAATTTTAACTGGGCAAGGCTTTAAGGTTGAGGGAAATGTAACTGGAGCTTATAAGATAACGTTTAGCCTTTATTCCGAGATTCAGTCAGTTAAATTTTGATAACATACAGTTATAATTTGAACCGGGAACCTACAGTAAAAAAGATGGTTTATAGCGTTGATCGAGCTTTCAGCCGTAAACGGACTCATAGTGAGATTCGTGCTTTTTTCCAGGCTTTGTCATAAATTTAGCCCTCTGTTCCCGGTTTCCCTGCCGTCGGGTGCGGCTGTCTTATTCAGGTTAGTTCAGTCTTTTTCCCTTTTCGTAGGTTTTTAGAGACCAAGATTCTGCATCATTGTCATCATCTCGCCATCAGAGTCAGCAAGTAGCGGAGAGCATTCTGCGTTACTTTTCTGGTTTTGAAGCCTTCCACTTGCCTCCACCTACGGCTGAAGAGGACATAATGAGAACTCTTAACGAAAATAGGAGTCAAGTACGACCTAAATTCTTAACGAAACTGGAGGAATTTAAGACCCTGCTTAAGTCTACTCTGCTTCCAAAACACAGCTGCTTTGATGGACAGCTGGTGACTGGCGAAGGTAACAAGTCTTTATACCCTTTCAGTATAGATTGAAAGATCAACAAATAGAGTTCTAAAAGCATAGTGGTTATATCAGTGGGAATGGATACAACCCAAAAAGTGCTTCTGTTCTTTAATAAAAACAATGCGTTATTCTGACGTTTCAAACCCTGATGGGCTACTTTTTCATCTGATTTTTTTCCTACATAAAGGTGAGTTTATTGTCAAATAATTAGACAATCAAATACAAATTATAAAGAATGTCCATCCGCCACTTTAAAAATACCATAATAATCTTTTTGTCCCCCCTCCCCCTCCCCCTCGCTTCCGAAGTTTTGAATAACCATTGTTTTCAGTTTCTCTTGGGACGATTCGAAGTCCTAGGAGAAACTGAAAACAATGGTTATGGAAAGCTTTGGGTTGTTGGACAAAAATATTGTTATGGTATATTTTTCTAAAGTGGCCAATAAAAATAATTTCAATACATAATACATAGCGAGTACAAAGAAAACTTGTATGGTTGACATGTTTCGAGTAAGTCAATATCCATCGTTAGAATATGATTGCTCTAAACTGCAGTTGCTTGAGTTGATTTTTGATCAGGGTATTTTAGACTATGCATGTATACTACACTGTACCGGATATTGGTCTTGATGGGTAATTTCGGAGAGGTTATTTTGTATCGGAGCAAAAGCTGTAACCACGTTGATCTTAAAGAAGTCCTTAGAACTAGATCAACACATATCGGATAGGTTTCTGTACCAGTCCATTTGTGGCAATGTGAAAAGGTGAGCATGCGCATACCAGCGGCCGAAGTATTTTCCATATCAACATGATAACATACACAATAAGCTATCCGCTGTAGTGTAGAATACCCTTTATTGTGCGAGATGTTCAAATTGTGATTTGTGCGTGCACTGCTGCATTTTCCTCATCACGAAAGATTTGAAATTGTGGTCAGTTGTTTTCCTGTAATCGTTTTATCTAAGTAGAAAATAACAGAACATAGAAAAAGATTAACTGAAGAGAGAAATTTCACTAAATAATAACAGGACTTGCTGCTTTGACCACTCTGTACGTGGAAGCCATTAACACTCCTGGTTCTGTTCCAAACGTGCAGTCCGCATGGGAGACGTTCGTGGAAACAAAATGTATCGACGCCAGAAATGTAGCTCTGGGTATTTACAACACTCGTATGCGGGAGGTTTTGTCCAGTAAGCTCCCGTGCGACAACGATGAAATTCGCAAGGTACATAGCGATTCGCTAGAAGAGTGTCAACGACAGTTTATGGCCGAAACCAATGGCATATCCACAATAACAACTGA